GTCCTTGTGCATTCCAGATGGTGAGGTGAGTGTTTCGGTTCAGCAAACCGGGCTGCTGCCAAGAGGGATGGGGATCTTGGGCTCTTCCTTTTCAAGTCCACCACTGACCACTCACTGCACCTAGGGCTTTCGGATCTGAACCTGAGGCTCGCTTTGACTTGTGTCTTGCTTCCCCTGGAAGGGGATGTTGAGCAGGTCCTCAGGTGGGCCAGCCACACAGTGACTGTTATAGGACAGGGGAGGCAACTAGTTTGAGGGCAGCAGCCCGTGGAGGTTGGGTGGCTCCATGTGGACAGGCGAGACTGAGAAGGGAGAGGGATGGGCTTTTGGTGACATGATGACAGCTTGATTGGGACATAGTGGCATTGCATGTTTGGTGGGGATCAAAGAAGGAATCTTGGAGAAAGGTAAAAAGCATAGTTCCACAGAGGAACATGAGGGAGAGGAGAAATCTGCATTTTGCTTGCATCTGCAGGGGCCTACCATTCACAGACTTAGCTATGCTGTCTTTGTCCCAGCCCAAGCACGCACAGTGATCTTTCTTCTGTAGAGCTGGTGCTTCTTGGGATGTGGCTCTCTGGGTCATTAAGGCCCTGAGGAGAGCTTGAGGCCTCCCACCAGGAACCCACGCAGAGAGCATTTACTGGAATCCAACAAATGTTTCTTAATTTTTATTTTTATGAGTCCACGTTTGTGGTACACAAGGATTACATTCCTCATGGGAAGTTGGTGCAGGTATACGACACATCTTAATTTCTGTGACACCCCTCCCTTCAGTCTCTGAGTCCCATTCCATTTGCAAAAGAGCTACCTCCCTGTTTCCTATTACCTATCTTTACTTTGCTCTTTAATTTATATGTACTTTGGGTTCCTTATATAAGAGAAATCATGTGACAAGCTTGTGCATCTGATTTATTTCACTAAACATTGTGACCTCAGCTCAGCTCATCCACTTTCCAACAAATGAACCCAAATTGTCCTTATTCATGGTAGAGTAGCACTCCGCTGTGTGTGAACACCAACAGGACTCCAGGCACCAGCTTGCCTTGGGCCAGGGCAACAATGATAAATGAATACACTATGTTGACAAACCAAATTAATGCAAAATCCATCCTGAACAAAAGCCCCAAATTTTAAATAAAATCAGGATCCTACCCAAGACAAGCTCTTGGGAAACATGGACTAAGAGTCTGAAAAATTCAACTGACTTTAGGTCCAACTATGGCCCACTAGGACTCTGGGAAATGGTTCTGTGAAGGCAGACATGGGCCAAGGGCAGCTGCGGCAGCGCCATCCGTGGTAACCATTTACAGGTTTGGTTTGTGAGATTGTGAAATAAAACATCAACGTTATTTTCAGCCAGCACAAAGCCATTGAAAACGAAGGTGATAAGGATCTTAAAGGGCAGGGACGATGTGCAGGGCATACTGTCATGACAGACAGTTATAAGCAATTTGCAAGACAAATGGGTGGGGAGAAGATATTTGCAGTCTCAGGGGACTGCCTTTTAGAACATTCTCTGTCTCATAAAGCAAGAAAGAAAGCAAGGAAAAGTAGGCCCCGGTTAGGGAAGTCAGTTCCCATAGGATGAACCCCATCTGGAGAGATGTCTGTGTGCAGTGATTTGACAAGATGATGGTGTGACTTCAGTCAGAAAGCTGGAGGATGCCAACAGGGGTGACAGTGAAGTGACAGAGAGCCCTTGGGTGCCTGTTGGAGTGGTGCGGTTGGTGCAGTTTTTTGGAATCATCTTGTGAGATCAGATGGCTTTGGGCAGGCATGCATCTTTCTATTTAGGTCTGCTGCTCCTGCAGATGTATCAGAGATAGTCCCATACAGTTTTTGAGGGGCCTGCATGAACCTTCGCTCACAGCACTTAGTACAGATCCAGAGGTTGTGGCAATCCAGTCACCTATCAGGTCATCTGGAGAACAAACAAGTCAATGAACATGCAGCGTCCACTCTGAGGGGCAAGGTGGTGGCTGAGGAAGCAGACTTGACAAGCACGTGGCTCTGGGGACGTTATGCTGAGCAGAACAGTGAGGCCCATGGAAGCACTGGGCCCTGGAAAAGCAGGTGCGTGGCTACCAGGTGCTGGGGGAGGGGCGAGGGCTGGGAGTCTGAGCAAAAGTGAATAGGTGAGCACAGCCGAAGGCAGCCTGCCTGAGCCAGGGACAGAGTCAGGCATGAGCGGCTCCACCACCCTCCCTTCAACTCCGAAAAAGAAGTCGAGAGGCTTCCCCAAGCCCCAGGCCACCACCCCAGCCAAAGTACAAATAAACATCTTGCTTCAGAAGAGCAATGCTAAAGGATGTTCTTATTAGATGACATGGTTACAGACATAAACTGGACGATCAGTAATCATTTTTCTGGGGGTAGGTACATTTTCTGTTCTTCCTGATATGTTCTTCCTTCTCAGTTTTTGGCGATGAACTGGCATTGCTTTCGTAGTAAGAAAAATGCTTTCTGTTGAATTCTATAGAGTTTTGTAATCTGCTTTTCAATGGGAAACTGAGTCTTCATTTTTCATATAATTTTTAATTGACTTAGAATTGAAACTTCCATATATAAAATACACAGCTTTAGATTTTGGTAGCTGTAACAAAAACTTAGAGAAAGGGTTCATTTTGGCTCCCGGTTTAGGAGGTTTCAGTTCATGACTGACTATTTTGCTCATGGAGGCAACCTTGCAAGGAAGCCTCATGGTGGGGATGTGAAAGGTAGAAACTGGGGAGGCCAGGGTCCCCCAGGCCTGTGGAGGCCATGCCTCCCAAAAATGAAGACCTCCAACTAGGCCCTGTCTCTTAAAGTTCCTGTCACTGCCAAGAACACCAAGTTTGGGACCAAGCTTTCAACTCATGGGCCTTAGGGACACGTCAGATTCAAGTGATAGCTGCACTTTTCTTAAGCTTAAACTTCCTGAGTTTTATCAAGTATGAGCATGCACAGAGCCACTGCCACAATTGACACCAAACAGTATCGTAGCCACAAAGGCTCCATTTTGACCCTACCTATCAAACTCCCTCTTCCCCACTCTCAGTCTCCAGCAGATACTGATTTGTTTTTCATCACTGAGATTGTTTGTTTTCTAGTTTCACATAAATGGAATCATTCGTCGAGGTCTTTTATATTTTGATTCCTCCACTTAGCATCATGTTCTGATCCTTGTGTGTCAAAAGTGCATTCCATATGCACGGGCTGTGCAGTATTGGACAGTACGGATATACCACAATTTGTTCACTCATTAAAGAGATGATGTCTGAGTTAAGAAGCACCTGTGATTTACGAGAAGCCAGGGACACACAGGTTTGTACACTCAGAGTTCGAGAAAGTTTCAAGGGAGAATGGTTGACTTTCCCAGCTGACACAGGATTAGCTCCCATTCTAGTCTCCAAGGAATACATGCCTGATGTAGACATACAGCATGATGTGCCTGCTCTGCTGCGCAGCAGGAGCAAGACCGCAGGTGACCTGCCTCTGTATGTCCCTCTGATCACCACCCTGTGGTTGTGGATAGATTCCCACATGACAGCATTGAATTAAAAAAAAATATTTACTTATTTCGGTACAGGGTCTTGTTACACAACTTGGACTCATTGTGATCCTCCTGTTTTCAGCCTCCCCAGAGCTGGGATTACAGGGTGTGCCACCACACCTGGTGTTGGTAGCCAGCATGGCACACCCAGGGTTCCAGGGCCAGCATGGCAGTTGGTACTAGGGATCGAACTTGGGTCCTTGTGCTTCCCAGATAGGCGTTTAGACCACTGAGTTATTTCCAAACCTCTGTTACACTGCCACTCACCCAAACAGTTGGACAACTATGAAGTTGAAGACATAAGTAAAGGTAGAATGTGAAGGTCACCTATCTGGGGAATGGGCCTTGGCTATTTTTGTCTACTGGGTCCAGCCATGGTGGTGCCTACCTGTAATCCAAGCACTAGGGAGGCTGAAAACAGGAGGATCACTGTGAGTCCAAGCTGTGTAGACCGTGTACCAAATATATGAAAAAAAAAAAAAGAATTATATGCCTTTACAAATACTGGTAAATTACCAGGTATGACTGAAACATATGGTTAATGTTTTGATTAAAAACTATTATAATAAAAGACACTTTGCTGTTAATCCCTTTGCATTTTAAACACATTTATCACAATCGTTTTTTGGCACTTTCTGAAGCAGCTCTGGAAGTCCTTCTCATGACTGCCTCGGTACACTGTCATGGCTGCCTTGATGTCCTGAATCAGTTCAAAACCTTTCCTGATCATTTTGGTTTTGGGGAAGAGCCAGAAGTCCCGTCATGCCAGCTCTGGTGAATACGGTAGTTGCGGACACACTATGATATTTTTGCAGGTTTGCCTTGATTGTGGCAGCCACGTTCTTTGTAGTTGTACAATACCTGCCAACGATGCTCACAGAAGGAGACCTACAGAACTGCTTCAGAAGGTGACAGAAATGATGGCAGAAGTGCGTTCGAACCAGCGGGGAGGGCTTTAAGAGGGATTCATGGCTCTGTGTCTTTTACTGTAATGGTTTTTAGAAACTTAAATACACATTGTATTGTTTCTATCAGCCCTTGTACTTATTCATCTCTTCTACTTACTTTTAAATTATGAAGCAATTAATAAAGCCAGAAGCCTTAGTACTCAAGGCTTGCATTTGGACTTGAAGTCTGGTCGCCCATTCGCCTTGGCCTTGAGGGTTTGCCTCCCCACGAGGACAACAAGCTTAGCCGTCTCTCCGAGCCTGTGGAGCGAGTCTAGCCTGGCCTCGCACACCGTGGCTTGTCAGTTGCATGTTAATTTCATCTCCATCTGACTCTGTTTTTTTTTTTTTTTTTTTTTTTTTTTTTAAGCCTTCCTCATTTGAGTTTCAGGTTCTTAGAGGAACTGTGTTCAGAGGAACTGAGCTGAATGAGCACAGGGCTCGAGCCCACAGGCGGCTGCCAGGAAGTGACGCGGCCGGCAAGACTTTTTATTTTCGTTTGTTTGCTCTGGATTCAGATCTGCTTTGTCAAGTATGGAGACTGGAGAACTTTCAAAGGCTGAAGACAGCGCTGAGGACCCAGGGTCCCAAGAGGAAGGGCAGCCCGATTCCCCACACGGAGGGCAGAGCCCTGGCCCCACGGCCCTCTGGGACACGCTGGAAAGGAAGTTTCTGGAATACCAGCAGCTGCCACACGGGACCCCAGAAGAACATCAAAGGAGCCTGCTGAATCTTCTCCCCCTGTTCCTAAAGGTCAGAATTCCTTTGATAAAATTTTAGTTAAAATTAAATTAAAAAATCAGTATATGTTTCCAATACATGATGGTTACATTCTTTTTGGGCAATTGGCATATATATAGAATCAAAAAATAATTATATATATACATATAACAATTATTATGTAATTATAATATATATAAATATTATATATATTATATAATTATTATATATATAATTATTTTTTGATTTCTTTAGGCCTGATCCTTTCTCTAATTTCAAAAAGTCTGCTCTTATTTTAATCTAATTTGTTGATAATTTTTCCCTAATATAAAGAGAAAGAAATCATATGATGTTTAGCTTTTTGTGCTTGACCTATATCACCTGACACCCCTATCTCTACCTCTATCTCTATCTCCATCCCATCCCTGTCCCTGTCCCTGCCCCATCCCTACCCCCATCCCCATCTACATCTATACCTCTCTTCATTTTCTTTTTCCTTCTGTGGATGAGGATCTTGCTGTTTTCAGAGCTTAGTGACTGTGAATTGCACTGTTATGAGCTTGGGTGTGAATACCATTAGAGTTGTCTTTAACACAGTCGGGAACATACACAGAGAAGGAATAGATGGGTTGAAGACAATCTCAACTTCCGGTTTTCTGAGGCATCTCTACACTGATTTTCATAGTGGTTGTGCTGCTGTCCACTCCCACCGACAACATAGAGGCTTTTCTCCTTTCTGCCTCTTCAGCAGGCTCTGTGGCCCTCTGTGGTCCTGGTGACAGTCGTTCAGGTGGGTGAGAGGGCTGCCTAGAGTTGTTTTAGTCTGCATTTCCCAATGAGCTGAAGGTGGTGAACACGGGTCTCCTGTGCTTATTGGTCATTTGTACTTTTCATTTTGAGAAGTACTTCTTTCCAGTTGTCTTGAGCATTTTTAAAATGTGTTGTCAGTCTATATTTTTTTTTCTTCTTTGTGTATTCCAGACCTTACTCCTTTCTCAGCACTGCAGCTGACAATTTTTGCTTTTGCCATAGGTTTTTCTTCATTCTGTCAGTTGTTTCTTTGGCCGTGTAGAAACTTGTTAATTTGATGTAGGCCTGACTGTTGGTTCTTAGTGTTATTTCTTGTGCTATTAAAATTCTGTCCGGAAAGTCCTTGCCTGCCCAGATGGCTTCAATTGCTTTCCCCTTTTAACTTGCAGTAGTTTCAAAGTCAGCTTTCATATCTAGGTCTTTGATCAGTTTTTATTGGATTTTAGTGCACGGCTACTGATAGGGGCCTAATTTCATTGTTCTTTACATGGGTAACCACTTTCCCAACCACCATTTGTTGAAGAGACCATCTTTTTTCCCACGCATATTTTTTCACCTTTATGAAAAATCAGGTGGCTGTAGGTGCCCGGGGGTGTTTCTGTCTCCTTATCTGTTCCACTGGTCCACGTGTCTATTTTTGTGCTGATTCCATACTGTTTTTGCTGCTCTACACTTGCAGTATATAAGTTAAAATTGAAAATTGCGGTGGCTCCTGCTTTCTTAAGATTGCTTCGGCTGATCCGGATCTCTTCTGGTTCCATACACATTATAGACTGGTCTTTAACTGATGCATAATAATTGTACGTGCTCATGGGGTGTGGTGTGCTGTTTCAATACGTGGATACCGTGTGTAATAAATAATCGAATTAGAGCACTTGTCATATCAGCCCTTGTCGCATCTGCGGAGAGAAGGTGCAGAACGTTCAAGTTACTTGGAAATACGCACTAGTGCCCCGTTAACTGGAGATGCCCTGCAGTTCTTACCTCTGAATCTGTAAGATGGAGATTTGGGGTCACTTCTGGAAGGAGTGGAAACCGAGGTTGGTAGTTCCACTACCACACAAGGGACTCTGATGGGCTGTTCAGAAGGGAGTCCTCTTGGTCTGTTCATATTGCTGTCCTAAAATGCCCCAGGTAAGGTGGTTTACAAAAAAAAAGTGAAAATCAGATTTCCAGCTTTTTAAACTTTTCAAGTATTTTTTAAAGAGAATAAAAAAAATTTAAAAATAATATTAGAAATGATACAGGGAGAGGATACAGCTCAGCAGGATAGTGCTTGTGAGTTAGATTCCTGATACTTCCACCCCCACAAACACAAACAAAAGAAATAATGCAGAGTTTCACTAAACGAAATTATAGGAATTAAACAGTGGTTGCTTTGCAACTTTTCTGCACACACTTGGCAGATGCAGTAATCTCAGCAGTGGGTCAGAGTTAGAATTCGAGGTGTCCCTTCAGATAGAAGATAGTTTTAGAGTTCTCTGCTTACCTCAGTCCCACCTCCCGTGCACTTTCTCTAGCTGGTATCATCTACAGTATCTTGCCTGTGGTGCTGGCACTTGAGGCCCTCATCACCAAGCTCTGGCTTGGCTCTGGTGTCCCTGCCTACCCAGTCATCAAGCCTGTGCTGTCTTGCTGCTGAGTATAAAGGCCTTCGGGTCGCACAGAGCAGGGATTTGACTTTGGCTCTACCCTTCCTTAGCTGTGCGTTCTAGGTCAAGTTAGCTCAGTACTGAGGACCTCAGGTTCCTCACCTGTGAGGGGAAATCAACACTGTTTTGGTGGAAGACAGGCTGAGTGAAGATGAGGCCTGCACCTTCCTGCAGCTGCCTGGCCTCGACTGTCCTGGTACCTGACTGCTGCCGCTCCAACCTCTTTTGCTGCTCCAACATCTGCTGCTTCCTGGATTGCTGACACCATCTCCTTCACTTTAGATCCCTGGAGCCCACCTCTGATGAGCCCTGTAGAGGCAGAATATTATGGGCTTCTCATCATTTCCTTAATATCTGTATGCTTTTATTAAGTCCTGCAAAGCCTACAAACCTGTTGTTTCTCTTCAGTTCTGACCAATAAAACCCTGTCCTGGCCCTCAGCCTTCTTCATTAAGAGGTGCTGCTAGGAAGAAAGGTGGGGGAAATGAGAGGTATAGTGCAGGTAGAATCAGAGCTTTATGCAAAGCCTGAGAATACTAGAATAAAAGCCCTTGTGCAAGCAATCAAGCTTGTAACCATTCTGTCCTGGATTTTATAATGGAAAAGTGGTATTCTTCAAAGAAGTCTATGAAGGGCTCCCTTGAAAATATCAGGATCTAAAAAAATTATATAATTTCACATGCAATGAAACCCTTAACATCAGAGCATTATGTGTAGATTAGTTGTCATGGAAACCATGCTGGGTTTGAGATTTGACACTCCTGGGTGATTGTAAGAGTCCTGAAGTACTTTGGTTGAAAAGAGCCCTTGAGTTACTTTACTCGATGGAGCTCACCCTACACCTGACTCTTTTTAACATGGTCTGGGATTACTTATTGTGCTAAAGCAATGAACCCAAGAGATTTTTGGATTATTTCTGCTGCTTAGAAAGTGCTGCATTCCTGAGGTGGGAGTCCTGACTGACAACCGGTTCTTCATCAGTGGAAGGGTTGACCTGTGAAGTCGGGTTGTGGCTAGAGGTTGACAGCTATGCATGGCCCACGTCAGTGGCTGTCACCTGCTGCATCCCAGGGAGTCTCAAAATTTGACATAGACCTGGTCTCCTGTAGCCCACTCTAGCTGCCTTGGAAACTTCTTTTCAGACATTTTTCTCCTCTTAGGTTTTCTCCCATAGCTGATTCCAGACACACAGCAGAGATGGCCTCTCCTCTTGTTCCTGTCTTTGTTTCCATGGAAACAGTCAGCTCCTGGGTGGGGATGAAGATGGCCTTGCCTTGTTCTAACTCCATTTGCCTGCTGGGTTGAAAAATTGTTGCAGATCGCTCATCCACTCAAGGGTCTTGGTGATAAAGACTGAACAGTGTCTCAAGGACTTGGAGCTCCAGCAGGGAGCTGCCCATCAGAGTGACCCATGAGCCAAGTTTGCATGTAGAACAGCGGCCTTCGCTCCTCTTTGCTCCTTTTCATCCCCCAGAGCAGAGTGCTAAGCCAGGGAAAGCTGCACAGTGCCTCAGTCCTGACCTGGGGTCAGGTGCCTGCTCTTTCTATTATGACTCTGTCCTGCCTTTGGCTGGTGCTACCTGAACCATAGACATATGGTTGCTGATACATGACAGTTCAGTTTGAACTATACATTTAGTCAAAACCAGGCTTTCAATTTTGATCTTTTTCTGGGCAATAAATTGAGCAGCATCCATATGAGAAATGCAGTGATCCTGGATGAAATAAGGCCTCTCCTGGTTTACACTGGTGGGTCCCCAAGACCCTCCTGTGCTCAGAGGCAGGGCTGTTGGGGAAGGACAGGACCGTGGGGATGCTAGAGTGGACTTGTTTTTAGGAGGTAAGGTCTGGTCAGAAGCGGCAGATCACTGGAGGTGTGACCTGGAAGGGTTTATGACCCTCCCCGACTCCTCCCTTTTCTCTTCCTCTGCTTCCTGACCACCTTAGCTTGAGCAGCTTTTCTTCTCCCATTCACCTGTGCTGTGCTTTCCTACCTTGCAGCTGGTCAACTATGGGCTAAAAACCTGAGTGAAAATAAATATCTTCCCCTTTAAGTCCTAGGTATCAGTTATTTTGTCCCAGTGATGAGAAAATGCTTCAGACAATGCCCAAAGTTCAAACGTTAACAAGGGGCAGGGCCAACGTGTAGACCCCGGTAGCCAGGCTAGCAGTTGCTGTTGCTGGAAATAACTAGGTCATATGTACCAGGCTGTGCCTGGCTAACTAGACTTTATGTAGACTATTTCCACATCCTTGCGGTAACACTGAGGAGCTCTTTGTACTGCTGCTTTACAAATGAGGGAAGAGGTTGGCAGGTGTTGAGTAATGTACTCAAGGTTGTTAGCTGTGGACTGAACCCAACTAGTCTACTCCAGGTTTCTACTGCTGATCATGGGGTTCCCTCGCTCAGCGCTCATGTATGGGATGGGCCATGTCTTGTTTCTCTTTCTCTATCTATCCCGTGACTCACTGAACCATGACTTTGCTGGCTAGGACCTTACTTTTCTTTTGAGTGCAAAAACAATGTCACCCTGTACCCATGTGATATTTGGATGACTGACTCCAGGATGTTGCAGACAGGGAAAAGGCTTCATTGCATCATATAGGAAGCGGGGTGGGGATGATGACTTCGCAGTGTGTAGGGCAGTGTCTGCAGGGAGGTTTCAAGAGGCTCTTGTCCTTTGCTGACCAGATGGGCCAAAGTCCCCCAACCTTGGCTTTTTCAGTGCCTTTTGGGTCATAGGATCGCACACACAAGGTGTCCAGTAGTGAACATGGACAGGTCCTGGTCTTGGATTGAGTTTGCTTCAGTGGAAGAGGAGTCATTAGGACCTCCCACTCCTTAGAGATAGTCTATGGTATGGACACCCACAACGCTAGAGCTGCAGAAGTAGTGGCTGAAGAGGGCTCTTGGGATGTGGGCTTGGAGAGAAAATAGGAAGCATGACAGCAAACGTCCACAGTTGGTGTAAAATCCCCAGGGTGTGGAACAGATAGTCTTGGGTGGGACTATGGTGGGTGACTGGGAGATGTGTGGGTGTGGTGGGTGGTGGTGGTGTGAACCAGATCACACTCCTCCAAGCACCATCTGTGGTCTCTGCGTCCCCTCCCCTTAAATCTGGATGGACTGGTGATGGCTTGCCTGGGCCTGGCTGACTCAGGCATCAGGAGACTTGAGGGGCTGCTTCTTGTTGTTTGTAATGCACTCTCTGGACCTGGCTGCTTCGTAGTGAGAAAGTGGAATGGGACTGAGTAAGTCTACATGGAGAACAACTGAGACCCAGACCTTAGAGCTTATTACTGCCCACAGCCAGAAATACCTTTCAGCCACACAGGTGCCACTTTAGAGGTGGTCTCGGCCCTGCTTAGCTTCCACAGCCATGTGGACCAAAGGAAAGCTGTCCTTATTGACTCCTGCCCAAGTTCCAGATCCATGAGCTAAATTGATGACATCACTGTATTAAGTCACTCAATTTTGGGGTGGCTTTTCAGGCAGCAATGGGTGACTATAGTGGTGGATAACATAGGGAGGATTCTACATAATTACTTGTCCTTAGAGGTGTGTGTATCCCTTTTCTTAGGCCACCTATCCAGTGGTGCAGAATTCATGTTGAATGTGCTCAATTGTTCAAGCACGAAAGGCAGATCTAACTGACTATCAAAGAGTTACATTTTTGTGTGCCTTTTTAACCTTTAAATTTATAAAGGAAATTTCCCACTGTGTCACACTAGCTGAGAACTGCACGGAAAGGCTCAGAATGGCAGAAACTCCCTGAAAGACAAACTTGGACTCTGCTATAATGGGAGCAACAGTAACATCAGGGTCAGACTGAAAAATCAGCCAGATTCTCTTTGCTATTCAAAACTCTGGATTTTCCTCCCAGTATCTCTTCAAAAGCATGGGTTCATTCTCATTTTCCTTGAGAGGCTAGCACATCATTTTCTCTTTCTTTCATAAGAGGAACAGCCACAGGCATGATGGTGCAGTTTAGACAATGTCAGTAAATAAGTTTTTTAAAAAAATATTGAGCAATATTCTCCCAGCGTGTAGGTCCCAGTTTGGGAAAAAAATTAGGGCCTTTTGGAAGCTGCCTTAACTCTTGGGGTCTCTATGGTACCATTCAGCAAATGATCAGCTCTGTGTATCGAACAGCACCCTGGTGGCCTGAAAGAGTTAAAGTAACCTCTGGAAGAGCCCGCAAAGTCCCAGGAAAGAGCTGGGGCCTTGGGAAAGCTGGCTCGAGTACAATTACTGTTCAACTCACAGTGGCCCAATTTGCTTTATTGTAGAGTGCCTCCTGGAGTCCCAGTGCTCCGGAGACAATATAGATGCTTCCGAGTCAACTGCCTGCAAATTGGTCTTCGAAGGGCTTGCTGGTGCAGGGAGGGGGCACGGGTATTTGTTAGAAAGACATCGCAGCAGTGTTTGTGTTCCTGGGGAGAGAAATCATCTTCGCACAGAAGTTCTGAGCCTAGAAGGCAGACTTTCTTTCTAGGGTGGCCGTGTAGGTGACCGGCCACCGAGCTTCAGATGGCTGCCACTGGTTTCTCAGACAGGCACGTGCTGCTTGGCATGACTTGTGCTCATGAACGCATCCACCTCTGGATGCTGACGCTGTGTGCTTCACCTCCAGCTCAGTCTCAGTTTCCAGAAAGGGGGAATAAAGAGAATGCAGGCCTCAAAGGCGTGGGAGAGTTAGCAGAGAAAATGCAAAACTAAGGGCTTGGTCCAGCTTGAGAAATTTGATTTCACTGAATCAAAATAATAACAAGTTAACAGAGAGATCAGAAAACTGAAACAACTGCAGTTGTGTCATAGATCAAAGGCTAATTCCTAATATATAAGATTTTCCTTAAATATATAAACCAGTACAAATCTTTATAGGCTAAGAATAAAATGGGGATTCAGAGAAGCCTGAGAAGCATTTATCCACTCTGGTAATCAAAACAACTGACATAGAGATGAGTTAGATTTTCTTCCATGAGAGGATTTTTTTTTGTTACAGATAAATAGGCATGAGAACACACACATGGGTGTGGAAAATTCAACTTCACATGGAGACCAGGGAGTCTAAGTTGGTAAACTTCATCAAGATAATGAGCTAGCAATATGTACCAAAGCATTGAGAAAGCTTTAATCTGCAATCCTACTTTTTCAAGTTTATCTCAAGGAATTAATTGAATGACTAAAGCAAAGATGGCCATGTAAGATTTGAAAACTGTGTGCTGTGATTCTACATGGTCTGAGTGTGTCCTCTAGGCTGATGTACTAGAAGTTTGTTCTCGAGTGGTGTGGTCTTGAGTGTAGGAAGTTAGGAGGTGGGGTCTCCAGAAGGTGATCACCCCATGGGGCCACTGCTTGGTGCCCTGTGTCCTCCTCTGCATGTGGCTCCCTTTGTCCACTTCTCTGCTATGTGGTGACATAGTCAAGATGCCCTCAACAGATCTCAGACAGATGGGGCCACTTGAGCTGGATCTCCTGCTCCATATAGCCCTTCTTTTTCATATAAAGCTTCGGGGATTTCATTATAGCATCAGAAAAAGGACAAAGCACTGTGTAAGAGGTGGATGAGACATAGCAGTTGACAGGGTAAGGAAGGAGGGAGGAGGCTGCCAGGTCACTCTTGTCATTTCTGTCAGGTGTCTGAGCAAATGGCAGGGCTGTCTGGATACCGGGTGCAGCCATCAGGGGAGGCAAATGGGAGGTCTGGGCACTGGGAGCATGTGTCTGGGCAGCTGTGGGCGAGATGGCATGTGAGCATCTTGGGCTCAGCGGGCACTGAGAGGCGCTCTGTGGGATCCTGGCTGAAGCTGAGGTGAGTGATGGGGAGGCCTCATGGACACATCTTGGCAGGAAAGCCTTCCATAAGGGCTGGCCAGGAGAGAACAAGCCCTGCTTGCAGTGCTGACACCTCTGACCCAGTCCTGTTTGTTGCTCGCCAGGCCTGGAAACACTCCGTGGGCATTGTCTACTTCCCCAGTCTCCAAAAGCTGGCAGAAGATGTTTCCAACCAGCTTGCCCAACAAATCCAGAGTGCCCTGGCCGGGAAGCCTGCAGGTAAAATGGTGGCCTGTGGGAGCACAGGCTGCAGGCAGAGCCCTCCTGTTTCTCAGCTCTGTCTTGGCCTCCTCCCACAGTGAGGCGGTGCCCACAGCAGGGCCTACACTGCTCCACCCCTGAGATCTTTGGGACTGAGGGAAAAGTGGGGCGAAGGCAGGGTCAGAGAGCTTTTCTGCCGACACAAGCAGTCAGACTGCACACACTGCAGACATACAGGTGCAGTCACTCTATGCACTGCATGTATAGACAGCAAACATGTGCAGGCACATAGACCTGTGACACACCCGCACATAAGACTTACAGACACTGATGAAAAACACAGATCAAATACAATCATAGTACACACAGAAATGGTCACACAGAGGTACTACATGTATGTGATTCTCACAGACAGGTCCGCACACAAGGACAGGGACATACAGAGACACACAGTGCCACACACACAGGCACATTTCACACCCAGGTGCACCCCCAGGGCAGTGACTGCAGAGAGCTCAGCCTGGTAAAGATACAGTGGCCAGAGTGCACCTCTTTTGTGGAGTTCTGGGCCTACACTCTTCTGCTCCTGTGACTGGACAAAGTGTTGGTTGCTGCGGGTTGAGGGGCAGGTGGAGCCTGAGCACAAAGCCCACCAGGGATCCCTCCCTTGGGTGAGGAGGCTCCCCAGCAGGAAGCAAGTTCTCACTGGCAGGGCGGGGGGAGCCCCTGCAGTGGCCATTAGGTAGGGGTGGTGGCCCGATGAATCTGTGCTCCAGGCAGACCCACCTGTGTGAGCAGCAGGCTGGGACCTCAGCATGTACAGGGCTGGGTCCCCCAAGAGGGGAACGGGGAGCCCCAGGTAGGAGGAGGTGGGGTGCCCAGGTCCCTGCTGCTTGCTGTGTTCCAGAGGAAGCACGAGTGGCAGCCGGGCAGCTGCTGAGGTGGAGAGGGGACACGGATCAGGACGGCCACCTGCTCCTGAAGTCGGTGTACGTGCTCACCGGGACAGATGAGGTGAGTCCAGCGGCTCTGCCGCGCATTGCCAGTGTGCGGAGGGCTCCGGCTCAGCGGTGGCACACCCCCAGGTGTCTTCCTCTTCTCTGGTTATTTCTGCATCTTTCTCCCTCTCTGCTGCTGAGCCAGAATCTGAAATACAGGTTTGAATCTTGCGTTCCCACTGACAAGAGTTTACCTCTCTGCTGCCTGGCTGTGTCCAACTGTGGAGTCAGAAGCAATCGCCCTTCCATTGTAGGGTCAGTGTAGGTGTGAAGGGCTGATGCTTACTACTTCCTGGCTGTGGAGCATGGCCAGTGCCTCCAACACACAGTGACAGTGAGCCCCTGCCCTCGGGTAGCCTGAGTTTTACTGTGGCAGTGCCATGGCAGTGACAAGAGATTGTTTTGCAAGTGTTAACTCCCTCTGACCCAGAGCCTCTCTGAGCCTTTGTTCTTTTTGTATTTCTTAGTAAACCCACATACTGAGCCATAATGCCCCACTGTGGGCTGAGCTGGGTGTGTTGGCCCTTTGAAGATATAAGTGGCTTGTGTCCTTGCAGGGGAAGTGGTCCTTGGTAGCTGTGGCCACCAGCAGAAGTGGACAAGACCCCATGCAGAGCAGGCCCAGAGACCCTGCATGGCTTGGGAGTAGGTGGGGAACTGCCCGGGGCAGCTCCTTAGAGCAGGGAGTATGGTCTGGGGCAGAGTCAGTGCCAGGTCTTCAGCATGGATTTGGGAAGGACCTCAGGCCATTCCTCATCATGACTGGCCTGAGGCCCAGAACCAGGGCTTGTTATTCCCAGGAGGCCTCTCTGAGGTCTGAGTGGGGACAAGTCCGAACAAGGGCTTTCTATGCACTGGTGCAGGTTTCCCTGAAGCAGAATGGGAAGAAAGAGTGGCTGCCTTGAAGCCTGGGGAGGTTAGAGAGGATAGGGATGGTGGAGTCACAGTCAGCCAGGTGGACGTCACCTCACACAGGACCCTTCAGGGCAGCTGTGTCTCCTGACTCCAGGGAAGGAAGGCCCCGGAGGCTCCATCTTCACTGTCCTGCTATCCTTGTGACTTCTGCTGGTGGCCTCAGGCTGCTGCGTGGCGCTTAGGTTGGCCAGCTTTGGCCCTGGCAGAGTCAGGGATCGGGGCCAGCAGGTGAGTGCCTTGCAGGTGTGTGCTATCACTCACATTCCTGTCGCCAATCATGGAGGCTGTGATTTCCAAGGAAGCCTTTGTTATCAAAATTTTGGTCCTTTTCTCTTTCCTTTCTTTCCTTCTTTCCTCCCTCTCCTACTCCAGATACCTTATAAGACAGATAACCTTACTGAACACACAGTAAGCATTTTATATAAACTTCATCTTCATAGTCCCCTAGGTGGGACCCATGGCTCCCTGCATTTTGCATTTGAAGACGTGGTACTCAGAGAGAAGCGGTGTCCTCGCAGTCCTGACAGTGTGGCCAGGAAGCAGGTCCAGGATCACATATGCTCTTCCCTTGCAGGAGACGCTGGGCACAGTGGCTGAGTCCGGGCTCCCAGCCCTACTCCTCCAGTGCCTGTACCTCTTCTTCGTCTTTCCTGTGGACAGAGATGAGCTCTTAGAGAGTGACCTTCAAGGGCAGAGGATGTTTGTACAGGTGAGAGACACAGGGGCTCTACCACCTAAGGCTGGAACTTGGCTTCTGTAGCGGACTGTCAGGGGTTTCTGGGAGACTTGATTCTCTCAGCCCCTGACCCCCACTGTGAGCACTCATGGCATCCTGTGTCAACTCCCCCGGCTTCTCCTCCAGTCTGTGCTTATGCTTAGGTAGTACCATCCTCTGGCTTCTCAAACCCCTTTTCTCTGGATCTTTCCCATCTGAGAACATGCACACTCAGCCCAACTTACCGAACATTTTGTAAATACAGCCATGTGGCACTTGGTGACAGGACAGTCTCAGAAAGACACCATTATGTTTGGCGACTTTGACATTGAACACCTAAACTTAAGTGATATTGGTTACTATGTGGCTGTTCTCTTGCAATGATCAAGACCTATGGCAAATGTAAGTGGTGTTTTAGGCTAAATTGTTTTTTAACAAGTAGAAGGAGGGCTGGGGGTGTAGCTCCATGGCACAGTGCCTGCCTAGCAAAGGCAAGGCCCTGAGTTCGATTCCCAGCACCAAAAAGCAAAAGCAAAAACAAAAACAAAAACAGAAACAAACAAACCAAGTGGAAGGAATGAACTCTAAACCACTTTGACTGGGCTACATTGAGCCAGCAGTAACTGTCTTGGGCCACATAAAGTATGTATTATAGTTCGTGTGCACATGAACCAAAACTTCCCTTTCAGAACTATTTTTTATTATAACACATGCATGTCCATCCTGCAGGTCACATGTTGCACATGTTACATCTGAGATAACAATAAAAAGGGTAGCACAGTAAGTACAGAAGTCAGAGATGTAGCCGTTCATCCTGACTACTGAGTATTAAGTACTGTGTAAGCTTGTATGTGCTGGACTCTTACACAACTGGTACTGTGTCTGCTCACACCCAGGTTGTCAGGAATACACAAGTAGTATGTGTGCTAGGACATTGTCATGGTGACAGCCACGGCGTCCCTGGGCATTGGGAATGTCTGGGTTCTGCCATGGTCTCCAGGGCCAGTGTCGCATGTGCTGCATCCCTGCTCCTTGTGCACACTCTCGCTGTCCACTGTCCCTCCCGCGGCTCCCCCGGACCACCTGCATAGCCCTGTCTGACATCAGAGGCTGTGTGTGTGTGGCCATCCTTGATCCATGCAGACATAGATGTGACGGGTGAGTGTGGGGTTGGGGATGCTGAGGGAAGGGCTGGGGCTGGGAATTGGATCTGGCTTGAGGTTGCTCAGGGTCATGCCTTGAGCCTCACTGGAGGTCACCTCCTTCCTCTTCTGAGGTGACATCTCAGGCTGCTGTGCAGCAAGGGCTGTTCCTCTTGTCACCTCCGTCTTCCCACCTCCCCTGCCTCTTCCCTGTGGACTCCACTTTATCTGTTGCTGAGTTGCTGTGTCCTCCAGCCACTCCTCCTGCTTCTCTGCTGCCCTGGGTGAGGGCACAGGGGGGCCCCATTCTGTGTTGTCACTGTGTGACCTTCCTTGCCTCCTACCAGGGCTTCTGTGCACACATTCCACAAAGACACCATGCAGCTTGGTGCTAGACCTACACTTGCCACAGTTGGCCTAGTGTCCTCACTTGCATGGGTGACAAAAAAGCGGGGTACCAAGGGCAGACAGCAGTCCATGAAGATGTGTATAGCTGCCCCCCTTTTGTGTACTAGGAATTGAACTCACAACCTCGTGCTTGCTAGGCAGGCCCTGTGCCATTGAGCCGTATTCCCAGCCCCTAGGTGCTCATTTCGTAAGTGCTATGAAGGGACAGTTGGAAGTGCTCTGGGAGATGACAGTGGGGGCAGTTTACACCAGAGAGCATGGCACTCTGTTCTGGGGATGTGGCGTTTGACCAGAGGGCAGCAATTGGGAGGGACACGAGGGTAGCCAGGCCCAGATGCAGTAGGGGAGCAGGGAGGAGGGGGAAGCCAGCAGGAAAATGGTTGTCCAAACTCAAGGGGAGGTCAAGGTTACATGGCCATGTCAGCCTGCAGGGGAGGCTGGAAGTGGGCTCAGTGGCCCAGCTTCATGGCTGTCCAGCTGCTGCTCTGTCACCATACTAGATGGGACAATGAGTTCATTCTGTACAAGGAGCTTGTGACAGTTGCCAAGCTGGGAAAAGGTCCTATTGGACTAGTGAACACCCAAGGGAGAGCTGTACTCATAAAGGGAGGGAAGGCACAGGGCTGGTCCAGGAGGGACTCTTAGGTCCATGCTGGGACCTTTGGATTTTATCCCAAGCTGTTTGGAGGGTATTGGAACTTCCCCTGCTAGCCATGGGGAGGCCAGATTGGTAGGGACAACTGCGATCTCAGTTGGGGTGATGCAAGGTTTAAGGCATGTGGACGCTGTCCTGCCATGTATGCCTGCAGGTCAGAGGAAGACTGTGGTCTGACGTGGAGAGTACAGAAATTGCTTGTAGGAATTATTGGTGCAGATGAGAGCCACATCTCTGCTCTTCTGCCTGAGCTGGCTCTGTTGACAGTTGAGTGGGGCCTGCACTGAGACATGTCCACCAGTGCTCCGCAGAAACAGGGACACATCTGTCAAGGAGGGCAGCTTCCTAAGCTCCTTGTCTTCCTCTGCCTCCCCCTCCTCCCTGTCCTCCCCCTCCCCCTCCTCCCCGTCCTCCTCCTCCTCCTCAGATGTTGCTGAACCTGTGCAGCGAGCCTCAGGCTCTGCAGGGGCTCCTTCCCGGGAGCGAGCTCCAGTCTCTCCTCATCGCCACCACCTGTCTCCGGGAGCACAGCTGCCGCTTCTGGAGAGAGCCCACCTTCTGTGTGCTGAGGGCCATCTCCCGGGCACAGAGTCCCAGCATCGTCCAGTACCTGCAGGGTAGGTCCCAGAGGCCAGGGCTGTGGCCACCCAGGGCTTTCCTGGAACTCTTGGAGCAGGGCTGGGGGCCCACTTTCGGCAACAAGAGCCGTGTATGCTCTGGAAGCTGAGTAGAGGTCTCCGGAGCCAAAGAAGAGAACAGGAGGGTGGTTGGCATTGTGTGGCCCCTTGTGAAAGGCTCCTGTGGCTCACACTGACGCTTTGTTGCTGCAGGAGAAGGAGGAGCCCGTGTGCCAAGCATGCACTGTCCAACACACTGCACTGGGAACTTTTATTTGGAGAGGGTAGTTTGGGTGGGCTTGTGGGGTGAGGACGAGGTGAAGGCATCCCTTAGGGTGGCCTACATGGCTCTCAGAAGAGGCCCTACTGAGTAAAAAGTCCCTGAAAATAAGAGATTTGTGCAAAGGGGCATCCACTAGGACCCATCATCTGACATGGGTCTTCCCTGGACTTTCTGCCTGGGGACCAGCAGATTCTATGTCCAGCCCCACAGCACTTCTAACCCCATTCCTCTGCCCCAGTCCCCTGACACCCTTTTTCCTCTCCCACTTCCTTTTTCTCCCCATTCCTCTTCCTCCTCACATATGCCTTTCCTTCCTGTACTGGGCTCTAGCCCTGCTTCTCCATGTGCTCTACCATACTATGATTTGTGTCCCTTTTTGTGTGACTTAGGACCTGGTCTCTCCCTCTGGCCCGGGAAGAGGGCCTAGAGTCTGTTCCCACTCCTGTGTCGCCTCCAGCCTCCAGAGTGTGTCTGTCCTCCTGACTCTCTGGAAGGCACCTCCCAAGTGAGCCTTCTCTGACCAGAGCTAGCACAGCCATGGGGACTCCTTCCTGGTGGGTGGCAGGAGGGAGGAGGGAGCAGCAGCGGTGCCTGGGCTCAGAGGGGCTGTGCTTCCTTTGCAGCCATGGACTGTGTGCGGCTGTCCGTCCAGAACCTTTCTAAGCTGGCAGACACCCTCCCAGCACCTGAGGTGAGCGAGGCTGTGAGCCTGGTGCTGAGCTTCGTGAAGGACTCCTACGCAGTCTCCTCTGCCCTGCTCCTGGAGTTTGAGAATGGGGAGGGCTACCCTCTGCTTCTCAGGGTGCTCCTGCGGTAAGTGGTTCTGCCTAGAGGAGTGGAACAGACCACTCCAGGCAAGGTCCTCAGAAACACTGGGGTGCCAAGTGTCTCAGCATGGCTTCTGAAATGCAAAGCCCCTTGAGCATGGCCAAAAGAACCCCTTGTTGCAAAGGTAACTGAACATGCAGGTGGGATGCAGACTGCGCCCTCACAGAATTGGTAGTAATGACCTTACCAAGTCTGCATGGTGGCTGGGCCATCTGCATGCTACTGCTGTGCCTTCTACCTGTCAGATCCCAGTGTCTGCAGTGGGGCGTGGGGGGCAGCTTTGAGCTCCTAGCCTGTGAGCTGGAGCTGCAAGTGGTGGGAATGAACACTTCCAGGAGCAGCTTTCTGCTGATGGTTGGTGCAAGTTGATGGGTGAATACCTGGCTAAGTTGTCCTTGGATGTGGGTGTGGGGGCAGGACTACACTGCCTCAACTTCCCCAGAAGGACTACCTTCAGTGAGGTCTGAGGTGGTGATTCCCCATATGGCTTTCCCTACCCTTTCCTTTCTGACAAGCTCTCAGTGAAATCCTCCTCCCTCTTCCAGATTTTGTACTGTAAGAAAAAGAAAGACACCATCCATGAGGGGCTGCTCTCTGATTTGCTGTGTCATGTCTAGGTTGGGCCCTAGGGATCAGAGATGCAAGGGGTGGAACTCAAATTCCTCAGTGGCCCAGACCCTTCAGTGGAGCTAGGGCTTCTGCTGCAGGGCGAGGCTGCTTGTGCTCCTTTGAGCATGGCTTCTGGGTAGCACTGGTTTAAACCGCGGTTCACAGACTTCAAGATGGAGCTAGGCTTGGAGTGTAGAGGAGCTGACTTTGATGGAGAGGAGGAATATCCCTACCCATCAGGAGGTGACCGGATGGAAATACCCTGAAGGTCTCCCTCCAGTGGGACCCCAATCCACTGGCTGTGGCCACCATGGAGGTCTGCATCATGGTATCTTCAGAGCGATTCTTTGTGTCAGTGAATGGTCAACTTCCCAGATGTCCTGTGGAAAGCAGTAGGGAACCAAGCGGGTTCCCAGGCATAGGGGAAGCAGCCACTGGGTGAGGTGCCTTTCCTTCCTGGCCTACCTGCAGCAACACCAAAGTGCTTTTCTTCTGGAAAGGGTGGGGCTGGAGTAGGACTTGAGGGTCCTTCTCCACCACCCCAGGAGTGGGGTGAGGAAGCCTCCCGCCTGCTAGTGCCTAAAACCAAGTGTTAATCTTCAGATAAGCACAGGGAAACCCCATGAAGCCCCGTTCTTTCCACACTATCTACTTGGTTGCTCTTCGGGAATATCAGGTCTCTCATTTTAGGGGTACTCCTGCTCTGTTGGTGCCTTCTGGGGATCTATACAGGGAAGTAGTATTCTCTGAACTGAGATGCAGGCTCTTGAAAGTTCCTTTGAGCAGTAGCCCCCCATTATTGTCTGGATATGTGCTAAGACCCCTTGTGGCTGCCCCAAACATTCATTGACAGGAAGGAGGCCTACACATGCTGTTTTCTTCTGTGTATACATATATATGATAAAATTTAATTTGTAAATTAGGCAAGTACGAAATTAACAATAAGAAATAATGAGATAATCTTATAATAATATACTAGAACAAAAGCTATTTAAACCTTATGAATTGTTTATTTCTGGAATTTTTCAGTTTCATATTTTCAGGTTGTGCTTGGCCCAAGCGTAATGGCCTTCAGGGCCAAGACCCAAAATGAGGGACCTCTGTGTTCCTGTTGCAGTCGCCAGATAGGAGGCTGAGGTGACCTCTAGAGATCTGGGGCTACACCTGCCTGTGGGGCTGCGCTTCCTCTTCTGTGGGCCAGTAGGACACACCTGCATTGCTCCTGCATCCTGCGGGGAGAACACTGCACAAAGGTGTCTGCTCTGTTGTCCCCACAGCTATGACGGGCTGACCCAGGGTGAACTGGACCCCCACTTGGAGGAGCTTGTGGGACTGGTGGTGTGGCTGACGACCTGTGGGAGGTCAGAGCTGAAGGTGTTTGACAGCATCACTTACCCGCAGCTTGAGGGCTTCCAGTTCCATCAGGAGACTTCCGGTGGGTACTTCTTGTGCATCTGGGTGACCAGCGGGGTTGGTGCTATGCCTTGATGCAGCTGTGCAGGACTCCCTCTTTCTGTGTGCACTCGTGTGTGACACAGGGCTCTGCCATAGCCCCTGGGGAGGTGACTGTGGATCTTACATCCTCCTTTATATACTTCCTTCAGTTTGCAACCGCAGCTGTGTCCAATGAAGAAGCTTACTTTTGAGGACTCAAGAAGTGTTGCTTACAAAAGCAGAGGTTCTGTCAGATTATGAGGAGGCCTGTGATGTCACCTCTAACTCGCCTGTGACTTATTCTGAATGATTTGCTTGTATAATGGGGACCAGTGACTCTGAATTGGCCACACAGGCAGACATAGGACATGGACCACTTTCAGACACTTCTCTCGTATCTGAAGCAGACAGGAGGTAGTCATCTTCCTGGTCCCCAGGCACAATACCTGCCAGCTGTATCTTCTACAGCAAGAAAGGTTCTTTTCACCCCAGAGTTTGTAGAGTTCAGTCTATAGTCAGTTGACTGCAAGGAAGGGCAGCCTGGCCCAGGAGCATGGCAGAGCAGGAATGTTCAGGGCATGGTGATCAGGACACAGGGAGGTAAGAGCCAGGGAGACAGACTCTTCCAGGCCACAGCCCCGGTGGCCTGCCTCTTCCAGCCAGGCCCCACCTCCTAAGAGCAAGTTAGCTACAAGCCCCATGATCCAACTGCCTCCTAGAGCCCACAGCTGGCTGGAAACTATGATGGAGGGCTGGGGCCAGAGAGCTGTCTGACAATGCATCTCTGGGAGAAAGAGAATGAAGCCTGGCTTTCAATGGATTGGAAAGGTGAATTCATTGAACAGCTGGTCAGCAGAAAAGACCCTGACTTGCTTGGCTTTTGCATCTTGATTTTTATAGATTCAAATCAACCCTCCCAGCCCAGTGCTAACGAAGGGAAATATAATGTGAGACCATCATGTCATGTTCAATGTAATTTTACTTTTAAATGAGAAGAAATAGGTTAAGTTGTTTTTGATCATAGATTGCATTTAATTTAGTGTAGCTTAAATCTTACATTGGAACCTGTGTCTCTCCAAGCGAATGTCAGTGGCATATTTGCTGTCTTTCCTTCATGTGTCCCCTTGGAAATTGGTGGGAAGCATGGCGTGTTTCGGTCGGGATGGCTGTAGATAGAGACTCGTCTTGACAGCATGGTCGGGCCTTCGTCGTGTGCTAGGTGGTTGGCTCTTTTGGACTGAGATGGAGATGCACTCACAAGACTTAGAAAATAAAAAGTTCAAATGGCATGTCCTAGAGGTGACCCTGGCACACAGCTCTGGACATGGGTAGTATGATCAAAAAAATACAGTGAATGTTTAACTGGGTTTTTTTAAAGTTCTTTTATTTTTATTTATTTATTTTTTTTTTTGAGACAGGGTCTCACAAAGTAGTACAGGCTAACTTTGAACTTACTATGTAACCCAGGCCAGCCTTGAATTTGCATCCATCCTCCTGCCTTAGCCTCCTGAGGGCCAGTTACAGGCATGTGCCACCATGCCTGGCTTTAAATTTTAAAGTTTTATTACAGTAAAAGACACATTGCTGTTAATCTCCTTCAAAACATTGTTTCTCACCTTACGTGAACTTGTGCCCTAGTCCTTTCTGCTTTCTGAAGCAGTTCTGAAGTCCTTTTTCTTGAGTCGCTATAGTTGTACTGTCATGGCTCCCCTGATGTCCTGAATCCATTCAAAACACTGACCTTGCCTGGTCACTTGGCTTAGAGGAAGAGCCCGAATCTCTCGGCACCAGATCCAGTGAGCAAGGTGGGTGCATACACTGTCATGTCTTCATGAGCCCACCTTTCTGTTGGATGGTGCTCAGCCACAGCATTCGTTGCATTTCTGATCACATGTTATAAAGACACTCAGGAAAGAGGAATTCCAGAGCTGCTTCAGAACTTGGAAAAATGATGGGACAAGTGTGCTGAAAATGAGTGGGAGTTTTTGGGAAGGGATTCATCTGAGTGTGTCTTTTATGGAACACCTTTTTAAACTGCAAATATTCACTGCATAGTTTGGTAATCCCTCTCAGACAGAAGAACTAGCTTGCAGAGTGACTGTGACCCTTGTTTTCATTCCCAGGGGTGACTGTTAAGAATCTTCAGGCCTTTCAGGTCCTGCAGAATGTCTTCTACAAAGCCAGTGACTCCGTCCTCTGCACGCAAGTCCTCTTGGCCATCAAGACCATGTGGGCCTGGAACCCACGGAACTTCTTCCTGCTGGAGTGGACGCTGCAGCCCATCTCTCAGTTTGTGGAGCTTGTGCCCTCTAAGCCGCCCCCAGTACAGGAGCACTTCTTCCAGCTGCTGGAGGCCCTGGTGTTCCGGCTGCGCTACGTGCCCCACGAGATTCTGCGCAAAGTGCAGCATCTGATCAAGGAGAGCCCCCAGTCGTCCTGCACCCTTGTGGCCCTGCAGAGCATCCTCAAGATCACCAGCAGTGAACCCCTCTTCACGGATATCTTCCGGGACTCAGGATTGCTGGGCCTACTGCTGGCACAGCTGCGGAAGCAGGCCAAGATCATGCGGAAGTCAGGTGTCACTCTGGGGCCATGGTAGGGGTAGGAAAATGGGCTGAGGCACCAAGAGCCAGGTGTATGCTGTGTGCCAAGGTGCCACCCCTCTATGGAACAGAACAGGGAAGGCAGTTTGTGCCATGGGCATTGTGAGGTTGGAGAAGGGACTCCTGGAAAGCCTGGGGTCCTAAAAAACAAGGAGCCTCCAGACTACCCTATGGGGAAGACAAAGGGGTGGACGTAACTTCAAATGGGCCCTGGGGCCTGTTCTTCCCCTGGCCTGGACATTGTCTGGGTGCAGATGGCAGATGGTGGTGAGGCTTCAGATCCTTGCCAATGCAGCGGATCCTGGGAGGCCTAGAGCTCTGGATGCCGTCCTGGGGCTGAGCTAGGTCTTACATGCAGGCCTAGTGGTCTCCTGCTGGGGAGCAGTCACTAGGGACTTGATGCTTCACAACACCCCTCTGAGTCTTGGGCCCACGTTGTATAGCCCCTGGCCCTGTGTTGACCCCTGCACTGTGGGGTCTCAGCCTCAATTGTCCTGGTGGGGCTTGAGGTCCTTCTGTCTTCATGAAGGGGCCTGATGGTAAGGGGCCACTCTCTGTGGCCTGCAGTCTCACCTGCAGTGATTTCCAAGTAGGAAGAGTGGTGTCATCCCCTTCCCCCATTCCTCTCAGCATTCCCTCCATCATCTACATTGGTGCACTGGGAAGTCAGCCTGGAGGATGGAGAACAGGACCTCAGCATCCCCCAGCTACCCCTCCTCACTTCTTCCTCCTTTCCTCCTCTTCTTCCCATATTGTGCTGACTGGAAGCACCTGGGGCTGAAGAGCCTTTGGCCTCAGAGAATTCTGGCCTAAGCCAAGGCCATCAGCCCCTCTGTTCCTCCAGGCAGCATAGAAGGTGCTGTTAGTGACATAGCTTTGTCTGTGTCACTAACAGGCCAAGGATTTTTGGTGAAATGACTTCACCTCTGTGAGGCTGCTTGCTCCTCTGGGCAACGGTGGTGGGTACATCACAGTGAGGAATGGACCCAGTGCTGTGCTTGGCACATGGCAATCACAGTATCCTGAGGGCCTGTGCTGCTGTTTTGGAGCCTGTAGCAGATGCTCCAAGAGAGGCTCGGGTTGTCTTTGGAGGCCTGGAAGGATCCATGTCCTCCCAGGACTGTTTGCAGATATGGTCAGGATTGAGGTCACGATGGGCTTATGGAGTCATACTGTTTGTGTCTGGCCTCAGGGCAAGGCTCTGGGACAGATTTTGTTATGTGGTTGTTTTTATTGCTTGGCTGATCCTGTGTTACTATAAAGAAATGCCACAGACTGGGTAATTTATAAGGAGAAGTTCTTTAGGCTCTGGCACTGGAGGGTGGAGAGTCTAACTTCAAGGGCCTGGCTTCTGGGGCTGCCCCTGCTGCCTAGTGGAGGGTGTCACTCCCAGCAAGCATGGCAGTTTAGTCCTCATAATGACTTCCTTGTCTGATTATGGGAACCTGCACTCATGACCTCAGCTAGACCTAATTATCTCCCATAGGCTATCCCTCCAAATATCATCAATATGTAAGTTTGGGGATTAAGTTTTTAGCAAGGAAAGTTTGAAGGACATATTTTAAGCAGAGCAAACCTGGTGCCTGAAATCCCATCATGAGTGAAGCTGACATTTTAACTTCTTTTGCTTTCCTACATGTCTGACTGAGTTTAGTGTTTCTGTGTTACCCAAGCTCAGTATTGCTTCTTAGAAGGCTGAGATAATGTTTGATTTTAAGTTCAGACCTGGGGTATTCCTAGGAGAGTCTGAACTGTATGTGGAATGAGGCATCTGATTATAATTTGTGCTTTGAAATGTGTCTTGTTTTTCCTTAGATGCTTGGTCATTCTTGTGCTTACTTATTATTTGTTTATCCCCTAAATATATATTGAGCTTCCAGTTTGCTCATGGATAGTTCTGGAAGAGGTATTGAATGGTGAAGAAAGATACTTTGTTTGTCCTTACGTTTCTAGTGGGCCATGTATTTATTCTCAGATCTCTTGGGCTACCCCACAGCTCCCAGATCATACCATCCCAGGCATGAATGAGAAACTGAAGTGGCCCAGTGAAGCCTGAGTCAGGGCTCCATGTGTCATCTGTGATGTTGCTTTTTGAAGTGTGGTCACCAGCCCAGTCCTGTCAGCCTCCCCTGGCATCTGACAAATACAAATAGTAGGATTGCGTCCAATAGCTACTAACTCAAAAACTTTGGGGATTGGGCCCTGTAAGGGGCTCTGAATTTCACCCATAAGACCACCAGGGGCTCAAATTGGAGAACTATTGAGGGAGCGGGGTTTTTAGGAATTGGGGTACCCATTATCTTATAATGGAAGTATTGTATTGACATCTCCTTAAGAGAGCAGAAAACCAATGTAGGTCATACCATATATTCTTAAAATCACTTTTTGTTGATTCTTTAATATGGCAGGAAGCAAAGAGCCTAGCCCTGGCACCCAGGATCCAGAAGGAGAGCTTACCAGAGTGATGCTGAGAACTGTAGTTGCGCTTCTGAGAGGCTCGGTTCGGAATGCGGGTAAGGATAGTGCCACCCTGTGGTGAAACACTGACTGTCTCCTTATCATCTGTGTGCTGGCTGTCTGCATTCAAAGGGTTTGCTTGGGGAAGAGCCACTTCTATGGCTCTGGCTCATGTCCCTTGGTTAGCTGAGGTTCAGCAATCTTCCATAGGTTGGAAGATTGACACCTTGGTTCGCACTTTTTACTCCTGAGGTTGTAAAACAAGCTTGGTGAACCAAGACTGTGCTTAACCTGACAATTTCTAAATTAAACAGAGCACAGACTCCTTTCCACTTTCGATTGAAATCCATTACTATCCTGGTCTAGTGACTGTAGATCACTGGTGATTGTTGCTTTGGTTTTTTAAGATCTAAAGTGTAAAGACCAGGCAAAGAAAATTAGTTCCTTTTGAAGGAATGTAACTTTATGCCCTTCTTGTGCATGTTGAATTTGGCGACTTTAACCATCTTGAAACTTTTTAGCTTCCTGAGGTCATATGGCTTCCAGGTTTTCAAAACTATGTTTTTCAGTGTACACGTATATGATGTGACACAGGTGCACCAGCAAAGTCACATTCACAAGCTTGCTTGGTGATTTCTCCTCCCTATATGAGGTCTTCATAGATCATTGATATTCAATGTAAAAAAATTACTTCTACAAAGCAGAGAAAAAGTCTCTTAACATTAAATTCCAAAATATTCCCAGGTGACTTGAGATGAGGGAATCAGTCTCTAAAAATTGCTCACCTAAAAGTGTGGCCAAACAAAGGTGAAAGCGGTCAGGAAAGGTTGTCTTTGTGATCTAAGACCCCTCGCTGCAGCCCCTCCTCCCCATCTGTCCCCAGTGGTCCTGAAGGATCATGGCATGGTGCCCTTCATCAAGATCTTCCTGGACGATGAGCGCTACCGCGAGGCCTCACTCAACATCCTAGAGCAGCTCTCGGTCATCAATGCCGAGGAGTATGCAAGCATCATTGTGGGCGCACTGTGCTCCTCCACGCAGGGCGAGTTGCAGCTGAAACTGGATCTCCTACAGGTAATTTCTCATCCTGCTGTGTGGCTGTATCTCATGAGGACAAGTGCCAGGGCACCCCCGTGTGTCCAGATGTTGGACCTTTCGGGGGCCAGTATGCTTGCTAGGTTGTACCTTGTGTTATGTAGAGCTAGCTGCTGTAATCAACAGCCTCCTGTCCTCAGTTGCAGAGGACATTAGGCATTTTTTGTTATGCAGAATCCATCAGTGATTGGGGCCACCACTGAGGGACAGCAGTCACCTGGGCACCCAACTTGGCCAGCAGGCATGGAGGTGGCATACAGTGGGCATGCATTAGCTTCTTTCCTGTTTTCTCTCAGGATGGTGTTGGGGTGGAAGCCCTTGGGTTCAAGGGGATGGGAAACTGAGTCCTTGGCTGGGCGAGTGCTTCCCAGCAGCACTGCCAGTTGTGGAAGTGGACTAGCAGTCAGCTGTGGCAGATGTCCTGGTTAGACACAGGTCATCGTGGAGGGCAAGAAGCAGGAGGGTCCAGCATGGCCTTCCTGGCTCAGGAGAAAGTGAGGCCTGTTGAAGGCAGCACAGGGTCATCCAAGGAGTGTGAGCAGTGAGAACAGAGGGACAAGAGGTCTGGGAGGACAGAAGGAAGTATGTTTTTGTGACATTGCTAATAGTCAGTCAGTACAATAATGTCGATCCTCCTATCTCCTAACCTTTCCATCTATGGCTTTCACAATCTTGTTGCTGTTTCTTCCTTTCATTTCTCTTGTCTTTGTGGTTGATGGTTTTGAAAGATTCTCTTTTCTGGTCACCCAAGCTTGCAGCGGTTGGTGGGACCACAGCGCCATGAGTGTCCCACCCAAAAGTGACAGGTGACCCACGCCATCATGTGGTTGATGGGGGACAAGAGCCCAAACAATGATTTAATTACAGGGCCTCCCTCTTTCCCCCAAAATATCAGTGACAATGATTGCTAGGAAGTACAAAAAGAAAGTTAAATGCGTTAAAAGTTACTTGAGTCTCATAATTATACAAGATAAGGGGGATGGAAAGCAGCCTGCTGAGCAAGGGAGAGAGACATCGAGAACCCATGAGTCACAGACGTCGTATGGAGGGAGCCACGCGCACCCACGTTGATAGCAGCAGAACTCAACAGCTAAGCCTTGCAGGCCACCCGTGTGGCCATTAACAGACGAATGGCTGAACAAAATGGCTTCTATACACAGTGGAGTAGTACTCTGCCATGAAGAAGGATAAGTGTGACTCATTTGTAGGGAAATGGAGGCAGTTTGGGGCCATAATTTTAAGTGAAATAAACCAGATGTGGATAGCTTCCCTTATATGAGAGACTCGAAGTATGAATAATTGAAGGAACAAATGACAGATAGATAATAGGAGATGGGGAGATAGATATTTTGTAAATGAGACTAAAACCAAGAGATGGAAGGAGGGGAGTGAGGGAGAGGACTGGGACCTGAAAAGAGTCAGGGTGTGCCACATATAGGGCCAGCTCTCCACAGTGTGATGCGCACGTGCTGCAGCAGGGACTCAGAAAGAGAGAAATTAGCGAGGGCTTGAGTGGAGCTTGGGGAAAGAGCACCGGCCTAGCACACACGAGGCCCTGGGTTTTATCCCCAGCAACACACACACACAGACACACACACACAGACACACACACACACACATACAGACACACACACACACACAGACACACACACACACACACACACACACGGGGGGGAAGAGAAGGGAAAGAAAGGAAAAGATGTGTTGGGAAGACCTGAGATTCACCCGACCCATTTTCTGGTGTTGTAGGCAAAGGCACCCAGAGCACTTCCTTGACCAAACTAACACCACGCAAGTGCTAAATGGTGACGTTAGCGTAGGCCTAAGACGGCAGCCAAAGGCCCAGTGACCTTCCGCCTCACTGTGCTGCGCTCCCATCTCACCTCCTGTGTCTGGGTTCGCAGTCTGATTTACGTTTCCATGCGGACAGAGAAGGCATGATCGAAACGCTGCAGGCTCTGGCCTTCAGCGGGCCTGCAGTCATCTCGGATACTTTTACACTGAAGGTCAAGCAGATCTGCAGAGCAGAAAGTTTTGCTTCTCTTCAGAGAGTGAAAGAATCTTCCTGCCCAACATGGAAGAGGGCTTTGCCCTGTGTGTGGAGCGTTCCTGTTATTTACTCTACAGCGCAGAGGCGTCTTATTGGAGTGCTGGCCCTTGGGTAATAGACTGAATTTCTGGAATTAGCAATATAAAGCCATTATGGTGTTTTACAGACTCAATATCATTTCAGAACCGGGCTATCAGGAGAGCACGTAGGGAATGAGTGCTCAGTGAGCTTATTTAACAAAGTTTTAGCCTGAGCTCAGTGTGCTGGGTCCTGCTGGGCAGTCGGAAGGCCCCGGGAGCCGCCGTCACACTGCAGGAACTGGGGCTGTGAGCACAGCACTGTCCCCAGAGCCTCGTCCAGACGCGCCTGCCACTGAGTCACGGGAGTCACTAGTGAATACTCACTGGGATTGAACGTGAGATCTACCAGCTTCCTTTAATCATTCTGGGAGCCCCTGGGAACTTCGGAAGCAAAGATGCAAAATGAGCATTTTCGGACCGGATCTCCCTTCTCAGAAGTTGCGAGGCACTGTGTCTACATAGTGGGTCAGATAATGAGGTGGGGGAAGTGCCACCGTATTGGCACCCCAGAGGGTGGGGCAGGCAGGGCCCCTCCTGATGAAGGGCTGCCATCTCTGAAGTGAGGACACATCGTGGAGCCACCCCTGTGTCTTTTCCTGACCACCAACTTAGGGAGCGTGTTTCCAAATCTAGTGGTTCTTCCATGCCGACGCTGTAGTGCACGTGACTGCGCCACCAATCCTGGCAAGCAATAACTGAGTTAAAGGATAATGTAAGCAAATGAATTCCCTCCCCACAGCCAGTGGGACCGTGATTGGGTTATGCACAAATTCAGATTGATTTGCTAATATACATTTAGCTGTTCAACTCTGAACTTAATTGCATTACCTCACCGGTCTTCCAGCATGACACATGGAAAATTATGAGGAATAACAAATAATAGAATGTGAAATAAATCCTGTTAGCCCTAACATAGTTAGCGTTTTGCAGCCCACATCCATCCTAGAGATTCAAGCCGGAGGAATACTAACTCAGAGACGATGACACAGTAACTGAGTTAGGGATGGGAAAATGTGCTTAACGCTGACCTTTCCTGAAATGTGTCAACCCGAGCCTGATTACTTTGACTTCGGCTGATTGAATTTACTCCCTTCCACAGCCTTGAAGCCCTCGGTGATGCATTGCCATGCAAAGTTGAGCGACAGTAATGCAGACCCTCTTCCTAGGCTCCCGGTTCCTGACAAATCGCTTCCCCAAGTAGTGGAGTATTTATTTTCCTTGATGATAGAAATGTTTCTCTTTAGTTGCTATGAAATTAAGCCTTTGTAATTGGATTTTGGACTCTTTACTTTATGACTCTGCAAATATGAAATTAACCCCATCCCAAGAAATAATAGAGCAGTCTACGTTCTAATGAGATTAGCCTCATTTTAGATAATGACTCTGAATTTAATAAATCAAACAAAGCAACAATTAAGGATAGCCATCTCTCTCTCTTCCCTTCCCTGCTCGTACCCTGAGAAGAAAGCCACCATCTAGGCATCACAGGTGACAGTCCCTCCAGAGATGCAGACCACCAGGAAGCCTATTCCTGGGTTGCTCCTCTATTAAAACGTCTTCTCCCAACACTCTGAAGCATGGAGTCTTTCTAAGCAATATCTGGGCCAGAGTTGGATGCCTGAAGGATGGGGGGGGGTTTCCATGGTCATCTGGCACACAGACAGCTGCCATAATTTGATTAGCTCATTTTCAGTTGTTCTCCCTATTCTGCTATTTGCTTTGTCATGTGTCATGTGGGAAACCTGCAAGTGTCCATCATTCCATTTGCCTGAAACCAACCTTTTAGTGGTGTTAAGAGCCCCAGAAAGCCTTCACATAAGTGCTGCCTGTTTAACATCACAGAGCCTGAGATTTCCCAGTGTCTCTGTTATTGACTGACTTTTCATGGCTCTTGTCGTGTGACCAGGTACACGGCCAGGCTCAGACAGTGAGACATGAGCACACCGCTTGCCAGTGTGCAGCCGGCTGTAGATGACCATCGGAAGGAAGTGGCTAAAAGCACTGCGCATTGCAAAGTTAGAGTGAGCTTCTGCTCAGTTGAAAGAAAACACTTTCTGTAGGGAGTGAGTTGCTCTTGCAGGGAAGGTGCAGATGTGGTGTCTGTCTTGGCCAGTGTTGGCCTTGAGATCCCAGGGTAGGGGTGAGGACAGATGGCCATTCTGTGCGTGCATATACAGCTCCTCAGTCTTCTGCAAGAATTTTGCTTTCTGCATACCTGCTTATCTCTAAGACATGTCTACAAATACCAGTCTCTCCTTGGCTTTAAGCTGAGTCCACAGCCTCACCTCCAAGGAGAAAGCAACATTGCTGCTGAGTCCTTTTTTTTTTGGGGGGGGGTGCGGGAACCAGGGATTGAACTCAGGCCCTTGCACTTGCCAGGCAAACACTTAATCTACTGAACCATCTCCCTGGCCCCTCACTGCTGAATCCTTAATATTTCTTTTTCTTTTATGTATTTAGTACAGGGTCTACAGGGTCTCACTACACAGATTGGACTCATAGTGATTCTCCTGTTTTCAGCCTCCCAGGTGCTGGGATTACAGGTATGCACTACCATGCCCAGTCTCAACTGCTGTCTCAGCATGCCCTGGGGGCAGGGCTGGCATAGCACACTGGGATCAAACCCCAGATCTTGCATCTGACTAAGCAGGTGCTTTAATCTGTTGAGCTATCTGACCAGCCCTAATATTTTGTTTTTGCCACCATCTTCTCCAGCAGTTTGAAGGTCCATTTTGCTGAAGTCTACCCTGTGGCTTTGATTTGACCCTTTACAGTGGTGGATCTGATGCTGCTTTTTCTTTTTCTTTCTTTCTTTTTCTTTTTCTTTTTTTTTATTTTTTGGTACTGGAGATTGAACTCAGGACCCCATACTTGCCAGGCAAGCACTTATTCTCCTGCGCTATCTCCCCAGCCCCTGATGCTGCTTTTTCAAAAAGCAAAGTGATGCTCCATTTCCCACACTGAGCTGTGGAGGAGTCTCATTGATCTGACCACTGTACTAAGTCAGCCATTTCTCTAACCAGGAAAGAATCAATCAATCCATATTGGTATGGCGTGCTCCTCCCTCACTTCATATTGCTTCTCCATTTTCAGTATGAGCGTGGACTTTGACCTTTCATAGATTCTCCTGGTTGCAGTGATCTTCATTTTGTTTTCAAGTTTTCAAAATGTCATAGGTGGGACAGTGGGAGAACTGTCAACGGTTGCTGGCCACCATTCCTCCTTGTCTCTGGATGCACCCTCATTCCCACATGATGATCAGTGCAGCCCAGGGCCATTTGTGTTCTCTGAGTCCAAACACGGGACGGATGACCTACCATGACCCTTGGGGTCTTTGTAATAGAATATTATGCTAGAAAACACACTTCAAACATTGGGACACACATTATCGTTGAAGATAGACGCTCAGGTTAGATTAAGGTACTGGTATTGAAGATAGACACTCAGGTTAGATTAGGGTACTGGTATTGTAGAAATGGACCTGGAAAATTGTCTTTTTCTCCTAAATTACATGGCATCATGTTAGTTACCTGTAGCTTTACTGAAGTTCCATTTGATTTTCTGAGTTTTAAAATCAATTCTGCTCCCTAGATCACCAGTTTTTCTCATTGTCTGTTAACTTCCACATGTCCTGCCATAGACTGTCATTTCAAATAATATGTTTAAGTTACAAGTTCAACCATTCCCCAAACTGGGAGTGTCTGTCTTATTTTTTCCCTTTGAACCTGTCTCAAGCACCCTGGGGTTAATGGTCAGACTGTGTCCTCTTCTTTCTCTCACTAGAGCATTAAATATCCAAAAAGACAAAGCAAATCAAGCCTCTCTGCAGAGCCCACTAACGCAGCCACAGTGCTGTCCGCTGTCCAGAGAACGTGCCTCTAATGTCTGGACTTAGGTGGGGTCCCTGGTAACTTATGGGATCAACCAACAGATGAATATCCAAACTCCAGACCTTCAATATTTATCTGAAATTATCCAGACATTCTTTACTTTTGGGAGTGCAATTGTTACAGAATGAGACTGTATCAAGTGCCTGGCATAGACCATGCACCAGTACCAGTGACGGTCTCACTGTGGTGCTCAGTAAAGGCTTAATGTTAGAAGGAGGATGGCACTGGTTGACCCTGGCTGCATGCTGAGTGTGAGCTAGGACCAGAGGAAGCCTCCTGGAGGGAGAAGCACTGAAGTTAGGCTGCTGGGTGGTCGGGTGAACTCTATTGGTAAGTTCAGGCCTCAGGGGGCAGCCCTTTGCCACAAGGCAGGTATGGAAAGCAATTGTAGGGGGCAACACAGGTATGGAAAGCAATTATAGGGGGCAACACTGGTAGCATGAGGCTAGAGAGTCTGCCATCCTCTAGGTCCTGCCGCTTCCAGAGGTGTCCAGCGGGGCAGAGCGCACAGATGCCTCTGCAGGGGTGCTGTATGAGCTGAGCTATGATTTGACTTGTGCTGTGCATGTATTTCATCTGCTTGCTCTTTCAGTCTCTGCTACGGATCCTCGAGACCCCCAAGGGCCGAGCTGCTTTTCGAGTCTCCAGTGGCTTCACTGGGCTGCTGTCACTGCTGTCTGACCTGGAAGGCTCTCTCTGCACACCACCGCTGCAGGCCTGGGGTGCTGTGCCCCACAGCCAGACCCTGGAGCTGCTGCTACACACCCTCTGTGCCCTGTCTGCTGCGCTGCACCTGGACCCTGTCAACTGTGACTTCTTCCGGAAGCATGGGCTCTTTGAGAAGCTGGCTGAAGACCTGTGCTCACTGGGCTGTTTTGGGACCCCAGAGGAAGAAGGTGTCCCTCAGCATTCCTGGCCTGAAACAAAGGTCAGGCCATTTGCAGAGCTGCTGAATGCCGCCTTTTCCCCCGATCGTCCACTCCCAGCCAGGGCACGGAGCTGCTTGCAAGTCCTCAGCTTCCTGGACAGCATGGCCAGTGGCATCCTCCACCTGCGAAGAGACCTGAGGCAACCCCTTGCTACAGACACCCAGGAAAAAGAAGCTGCTGGTGGCCTCCAGAGCAGCTTCAAGCAGTGGCCAGACCCAGAGGAGAGGTAGGACTTCTCTGCCTTCATCTGCCTGGAAGCCCCCAGGTGTCTCATTTTCTTACCCAACTCACCTTCCCTTGCAGCAGTGGGAAGGTGAAGCTATGGATTAGGTGCACAGAAATGCCATGCGACTTCTTTTAAGTCAACTAAGCTTTGACCCTAAGCTGGTCTCTGCTGGAAGCCAGCAGAATATTCAGTCCAAGTCAGTAGAGGCTTGGAAGGGGCTATAAGATGGCGTAAGAACCAGTGAGGCTTCTGGGAAGCCTGAGAACAGGAGCAGCACTTTACTCCTGAACCTTCTGAGGTCTCGTCTGTTCCCCACAGCACTTCCAGGGCTGGGTGACATCCTTCAGCTTGTGGGACACAAAGCCCAGAGCCCATCCTAACTCAGGGCTCTCACTGTCCTTTCCAGTTGCTTCTATTCTCCTAATAAGATAATTGCTCCTCCTCCTGGCACAAGCCAGCCCTCATGGGGCTCAGACTGTCACAGAAAGCTTTCTACTGATGGTGTGTAAAATAGAATCAGTCCCACTAGAGCAGCCGTGAAGGGCCATCCCCACCCTCCCCTGCCCCTTTCGTGGTGGGAGGAGCACGAATGAACACAACAGCCACCACCAGTGTGCTTCCTTCATTGCTCCAAGACAGCAGAGTCAGACTGCGATTCATATGCAACACATGACCCTTCTGTGCATTTTTATCCAAAGAGATGAAGCAGGATGGGCGTTTATCTCTACACACTGGGATGATGACAAGTTTTTGTTGTTATTTCAGTGGGTAATCTGATAAATTAAGTAGTTTTCTGATCTTGCATTCCTGCTCAAACCAACTTGATGATATATTTTTTGCTAAATTTGACTTGCTCATTTTTAATAAGGAGTTGTGAAGCTCTGTTCATGGGAGAGTTTGACCTGTCTGTATTATTTTCTCAGCTATTTTTTTTTTTTTTTGTCCAATTTATGCTAGCTGGGCTGATGTCTGCCTGGATACTCCACTCTGTAATGGGCACCCTACAGGGATGGATGTCCTCTGGGTGGGAACACCAGTGGTGACTATGCCAGGAGAGACCCTTGCATCTCGAGTTGCAGCTTCTCAGCTCACTTGCTTAGGTTGTCTTGAGCTTATTGCAAAAAATAGACAAGAATATGAAGACATAGCTGTGAGACTGGGAACTGATTTAGCATACCTAAAGAAAACACGTGGCAAAGTCTGGAAGCAGAGAATATCTAGCCTTCTGTTCAACACCAAACAATATACAATGGAACTAGAGTGGCTCTATCTGCAGATGTGGGAGCATTCTGCAGCTGGCAACAAGCCTCACCACATGATTAAGCCTGTTGAAGTCACTGAGTCAGCCGAATAAAGACTGTACAGGAGAATTACCCCTATACCTGAGCCTCAACCTCCTGGGGAAAGGGAACTAGATAACATACTTTTTACTTATCTGTACAGTGCCATGTTGCAAATGGGTGATACATAATGGTAATAGAATAACGCAGCCAGCCTTGCTTCCTACACAGTAGGGAGAAACACAAGAGATGGAAAAATGCTGTTCCACAAGGAATCTCCAGAGTTTTGCATCATCCGGGGCTGGAAGGTCTGATCTCCCTTGGTCATCCATGGGATGGTTAGTGTAGAGGGGAGTTAAAGATTGTCCAGCTCTTGTAAAAAATAATAATAATAATATGCTATCTTGGTAATGTGAGTTGGACAGTGTTGTGCTCTCGGGAAGAGTCTGCAACATTATTTATTCCTATGCCTGGCTTTGTGCTAGAACTTGCCAGTAAAACCTGTAAGCCTGCTGTTTTCTTACAAGATTTATCCTTTTGAAGATAAATTCTATTTATTCTTGAATTGACTTGCAAAGATATTTTTTTCAAGCTCATTTTCTTGCTTCATCCAGCTTTCAACTTATTGGCAGAAGCTTGCTTGTGACATCTTCTTTTATTTATCTTTTGAGATGGAGCCTGGCTATCTTGCACAGGCTGGTCTAGAACTGTTGGGCTTAAGAGATCCTCCTGTCTCAGCCACCTACTAGCTGGGATTGCAGGGTGGTGCCGACGCACCCTGCATCTTCTTCATGTGTGTCTCTGGTGTGTTACTCTCGTCTCTCACCGATGCATTCATGTGTGCTTTCACTTGCTCTTCTTTCAACATTTTTGTTGAGGTTGATTTTTTAATGTGTCCTTTGAACCAATTTTTGCATTTCCTATTTTTCCTCTGAAATTTTCCATTTTGTCATTTTTTTTCTTATTATTTCATCCTAATTTTTGCTTATGCTGGTATCTTTTTTCTTAATTTATGTAACTAGGAGACTAATTTTCAGTGTTTCTTTCAAAATACAAATTTTGTCTTATCTCTCAAGTTCTATATTTAATATGACACAGTACTTGGTATTGTTCTACTTTCTTTAATGATTTGCTGTTGACGCTTGAGTTTCATTGGAGTTGTGTGGAATGTCCAGTGTTCCAGAGTGACTCCAGCTAGCTCCTGGGCATTGATTCTTCTAGCTGTGCCTTGGGGAGAAGATGTACAGTGTGGGGTCCCCTTCCCTTACAGTTGGTTGAATTAGCTTCCTGGCCCTTGATATGGGTAATTTTCATCAATATTCTACCTATGCATGAGAAGAACAAACACCGTCCAATTGTTAGATTCAGTGCTCTAGTTATGTCCCTTGGATCAAATTTGTCAATTGTTTTGTCTAAATTTCATATATCATTAAAACTTCAAATTTGCTTTGGTACCTGTTATGAGAAAGAGATATTGAAAATTACTGTAATAGCAGATGCATCAATTTCTATTGTTCCATACGTATGTTTGGAGCTGCAAGAATTATATATACTTAGAGTTTTTAATGTCATTTTGTAGATTCAAAAGGTTTGCCATTATATTGTAATTTTTAAAATCTCTAGATCTCATAATTTTCCTCAATATTGATTTTATTTAACAATATAATAGGATTTTATTACCTTTCTTTTGCTTAATGTTTATCTGGAAATTGTTTTTATTTTTAAGAAACTTGTTATGTTTTTATTTTAGATATTTCTCTTCTAAACAACAGGCTAGTCTTTTCACTTGTTTTTAAAAATTTAGTATGATAGTTTTTGACCACTTTACAAGGATTTGATTTCTTCACCTTTTAATCATTAATATATTAGAAATGATTGCTACTTTGTTATCATTGCTGTTTTGTATTTGTTCCATTTTTCTTGTCTTCTTTTGAATTATTTGATTGTTATTTATTTATTTTTTACTTAAATGCAACTTTCACTATCTACAATTAGTCTTTTAGTGGCCCTCATGACATTTAAAGTTAGACTTTATTCTTTATCCTCCCTCTAATCAATATAAAAAACACCTTAGAATTTTTAAATATCCTCACCTTTTTCAAATGTATGATTTGGTTCTATTATTTATTGACATTTACCTTTGTACTTTTAAGATCTGCCTTCCCACTCTGTTTTGTATCTATTCTCTCTGGGGTTGTTTCCTATTTACCTGTAGTACATCATTAGATTTTTCTTTCATGGAACTTTACCTATAATAGCTTTCTTAGTTTTTATTAGTTTAAAACATATTTATTGGGCCAGCCAAATAGCTCAGCAGATTAAAGTGCCTGCTTTGGCAAACACAGGGGCCAGGCGTTTGATCATCTGCCCTGGGGTGTGCTGAGATGGCAACTGAGACTGGGTGTGGTGGCGTGCACCTATAATCCCAGCATACGGGAGCTGAAAACAGGAGGATCACTACAAGTCCTATCTACATAGTGAGACCCTGTAGACCCTGTCCTAAAATACCGAAATCAATCAATCAATCAATCAATCAATCAATCATATTTATTTATTATGTAATTGTTGGAAATGGTTTTCCTGGGTGCATTGTTATTGACATTATTTTCTTATAGTACATAAAAGTTCTAGCTGTTGGCTTCCATTGTTTGCTGTTAAGAAATTTGTGGGAGGTAATATGACATTTTTTCTTTGGCTATTTAAAATTTTTTACCATTCTTATTTTACTATCATGTATCTTGATTTAGAATTTAACTTTGTTTTTTTGCCCAATAATCTTCAGGATTTCTTTCTTTCTGTCTGTTTCTTTCTTCTCTCTCCTTTTTCTCCTTTCTCTCACTTTCTCTTCTCTTCCTTTCTCTTCTCTTCCTTTCACTCATCTTTCTTTCCTTCTTTCCTTCCTTCCTTCCAACCTTCCTTCCTTTTCTTCTTCCTTCCTTCTTTCTATTATAAACTTAGAACCGAGAAACCTAGATATATTCTTAGGTTTTACTCATTTCTCTGCGTGCTTGACCTCTGTTCTGACCTTTCCACCTTGCTGTGTCTCTGTGCACTGTCTTGCATGATTTCTTTTGCCCTGTCTTCCAGATTGTTGTGTCGCCTGTTAGCCATATCTAAGGTGATGCTCCATCCATTCACTTAGGTTTTGTTTCTTAACATTAATTGATGCATTTTTATCTATCTTGATGTACTGATTTGGTTCTTTTTCATATCAACTGGATGGTTTCATAAATCTTTTCCTTGTTCACATTTGTCTCTTTGTTTTATTTCCTCAAATACATGAGCTGTAATTATTTTTTCTTGTGTTTTTGGAGAGTTTGACTCTATGGTCTGTGGTATCATGGGAGGTACCTTGTGTGCTGTGTAACTTAAGATTGTGAACCTTGCCTCACAGCTTTTTCCTCCCAGTGTCTCCATGATCACCCCCCCCACTCTTCTTACCTAGGGGTCTGTGGCTGCCCTTTGCAGCCAGGCTGTGCAGATTCCCAAAGCCTGCACTCTTGGCTCTATTTTGAAGTGAATTCTTTCTCTATGGGCTTTCTTGATCTCTCTTCTCCAGAGAGCTGCCCAGAGAGCCTTTGCTCTGGTCAACGGGACACCAGGCAGGCTGACTTGGGACCTTGGGACACCAGGCAGGCTGACTTGGGACCTTGGGGTGGAATCTTACCCAGCATCTGCTAGCTTTCAGAGTCTGGGCAAAACAGTTAGAAAATGGATCAG